TTCTGGAATTGAGGTTGTAAATGGGAGCTTCACTGTCAGATTCAAACATTGGTCCCTCTGAAGCAAGAGTTTTCCCACCAAAGCTTCTGGAAATGGACATAACACATAGACACACATACAGTACCCTGTTTGCACAGACACACAACACAACCCTTCTTTAAAAATGTACAAGAGTTCCCTCCTACCCACTATGGAACACGCCAAAGATATTTGAAGGGAAAATTTGGCGCCATACTGAACACTCACTAAACCACAAAACCCAACGAACTTACGCCAGACTGACAGCCGAACGGCCACAAAGCCCGACATACGTCACGCCAGACTGACAGCCGAACGGCCACAAAGCCCGACAAACGTCACGCCAGACTGACAGCCGAACGGCCACAAAGCCCGACAAATGTCACGCCAGACTGACAGCTAAACAGCTTCATGCACCAATATCAATGCATGGCCAGCGTGCATATGTAGTACAAACCATAGATATATATCAATGTACAAACCCTGAAGGGAACTCCACCGAGACCCTGCCCAAACTAGCACACACGCGCGGTAGGTGCATCGGAGCTGCAAAAAAAGAAATAAGATACTATCCTATCCTATCCTAAAACGCAGTCTGCACACCTTGAAGTGTATCACTTCTGTCTCTCACACAACCAGACCCTGCTCCAGCACACGCTCGAGGTAGGCGAAATAGCATCCATCAGAGCTACAAAATGAAAAGTAAGACGCATACATAGCTAAAAGCTATCCCAGCACAAAGAGACAAAGTACAAACCAAGAAGGGCAAAGATCGGCGCTCATTTGTTCTCAACACCAGACAATGCTCGGCTGTATGCAGTCGGCCATAAGTGTCAGGGAAGGGGTAAAAGAAGCTTTCCGGTGGCACCTTGTCGATATCTCCTCGAAGAAACACACCAGAGATTTGAAAATGGCAGCTGCTTATTCGGTGCACGTGAGCATCACGAGCAGATCACGCGTCGCTTAGTCAGCCAGTTCACCGATTCTCTCCTCCTCTGATCGCGCGGAGACCCACAGGCGGACCCAAGTTGCTTTTCGCTCCTAAATATCTGCCGCAGCTTTCCTGCTTTGTGACAGAACCCTGCCGTACACCTACCGCTAAGAATTTGGCCTAAAAACCAACTCCGTTTGATGAGTTCTCGTCGCGGGCTGAACGGTCACGAGTCCTTGTTTGCGTGCTAAACGTAGGTGATAAGCATATTTAGCCTGGCCAACCTCGGACACTGGTAAGCCCTGGTTTATGCGCTGTGGCTTTCCTTGTCGTTCAGCGCGCATGAAACGCTCTGAAATGTGAAATTTACCGTCTTTCCCACTGAGGAAAGCTGGCCGATCGAAGTACACGGAATTTCCGTAACTTTCATGACTTCATTATCGTTACGGAAATCTGTACCGTTCGCCCAGTGTTAGGAGTTGGAGGATATATTCAGATACTGTTGGATTTTGCATGCAATTCTACCCTCTTCCTCTTTCTTCTCTCCTCTCTTCTTCTCTCCATCTCTCTTCTCCATAGCTATTAAAAAGCCCTGTCAATAAGTTGGCAACATACTCTCATGACGGTGCTATTATGTCATTAGCTACTTGCCACTGCAACCATGTAATGGTGAAAAAGTAAACCAGAGATTTCAGTTGGTGTACAATCAGTGGTAGCTAGTTAGTCCAGTCAAAGTCAGTCCAGTCATCCAGGACTGCAGTACGGACCAGAGCCTCACACACCAGGTAGGAATCACTGTTACTGGACGGCCGTCTGTCCTGAAGGTAGCCTCGACCAGCTGCACACACACACAGGTCATGTGGGAGAGGAGAGAAAGTTGATATTGTCATTATCATACCAATGCATACTAGATACTTGTATAGAATCTGTACAAGTGCAGAAAAATGAAGGTATTGTGTGCAGAAACAGTAAAGTACGTGACTCTAAACAACACCCACTGTAAACAAAGAGCTCTCTAACACAAGTAGCACACACACACACACACATCATGTGGGAGAGGAGAAAGTTGATATTGTCACTATCATAACAATAGCTACTAGAATCCGTTTTTTTCTCTTGGCATCACATGGTCTATTGTTACATGTGCACCTACATGTATGTACCACACAGTATAGAACACCCACTGTAAACAAAGTGCTCTCTTAGAACACACTTTCATTGTAGTGGTCAAATGCTACAAGAGAGACTCCAACGTATTCTAGCCAAGTGGATAATGGTCCTATGCTAATACGTATGATGTCATAATTATGTCAACCTTGAGCGACTCCACGAGGTATTCTGATGGAGGCTCCTCTGTGGGCCACTCCCCAGAAGAACTGGTCAATGTGAGCTGTCTCGTGAAGACCTGTCAGTCTACGACTGTTGTCTACTCCAGCTGGGTCGGAGAGGAAGAGGGGAGGGAGGGAGGAGATAGGAGAGAGAAGGAATGATTGAAAAACTGGTTACATACTTGTTCACCACTATTCCATAAACCCAGGCTCCATGCACTTGCCATTCGTACAGTATAATGCAGACTACTGTTAGCGAGTGATGAAGTGATAAAAGTGCCTGATTATCACCAAACTTCCCTTCCTTACTCTCATCGCCCCTCCCTCTCTCCCCTCGACTCACTCCACTGGGGTCATAGAGTATGATGTGTTCCTTGTGTCTCTTCTCCAGTCTCTGAATGGCCTCCTCCATCACTGCAGCACACACACAATTACATTCTTGTCTCCTATTGTTGCATATCGGCTGGGAAATGGAAATGCTATGTCTAGGAGTGGTACATACAAACAGACACGTATTAGTTAACGTACAGCGGCGGGCGGTACAGGGATACTCGAGGCTGTGACTTATACCGTACAAAGGGCATAGGATTCCTGTACAGCCAAGACGCCTGACGTTAATACTGATTTGTAGTCCAACTAGCCAATCAGAATGCTGAATTTTGCTGTGTCATCCGCACTAATGTACTATGACTGTTGTGTAAACTTGGAGCCAGGATGATTTTGCATACGCAAAGCGCTGATGTTGTGTTAAGGACTTCCTGTCAAATATTATACCGTTTGCAGCCGCATCTACATGCTCGGATAAGGTAAGATTCCTAGCACAGGGTTTGTTTGAAGTTTGGATCTACAAATCTCATGTTGGCTGCCCGCCTACTGTATGGTTGCATGTGGTATGGCCCTAGTGCTACTTGTCCAAACCTTTGATTCTTGCAAAACTAACCAAAGCCAATGTGTCTATCAATGTGACGTTCATACACATGTGCGTGTCCTTGCAATTTTTTAGAACTTAAAGTTAAGTACCCACGTGTGTCTAGGTTGCACACACGGAATGCAGCGACGAGATTCCCTCGGTATACAGGGTTAAGAGAGAGTGGAAAGGGAAGCCACACCTACGCCGCACGTGGCTCGCGGAAATGGGAGAAGGACAGACACCACGCAACATGTCTGGAGGTGTGAGTCTCAAGAGTACCGATGAGAGTAGGCTGACCGAAGGACAGACGCACGTTGAAAAGACAACGTCTGCCGAACACTGCAAGGGCGGAAAGGAAGTGATTGGGCGTTTTTGTTTTGTTCCAGTGTCCA